GGCCACCATGGGGGAGGCCCCGTCCACTAGGCGCTCGCATTCGAGCCCCAACCCCGGGCCTGGCTCCAGGGTGAGGCCCCGGCTGCGCCATGCCGGGCGACGTCACAGTCCTTGATCTAAATCTATTCATAAAGGGCTTTTGAATCGCTCTTAGTCTGACCCGTCACCCAGGACCTGTTTGCCTTGGGAGACCCTACCAGGGACATATAGCCCCCGACAACATAGCTCCTAGGGTCACTCAGGTACTCAAACCCCTCCACCGCAATAAGCTGGCGGTTCAAGGAGGGGATAAGAAAGTAACTCTTTTTTTTCTGATATATTGAGCTGTGTTAGGATAGAGCATGAAATCAGTTCAGTTCAGGAGCTGAGTGCTAAGTCAATTCTGAATTGTCTCCATGGGTTTCACGTTTATTAAAGTTGCATACTTCTACCTGTGCCACCAATGCAGCAGTCAAGATTCAACAGCCTTTGACCCACACCTGAGAATACTGTTTGCTACTTTAGAGAAAAGTGCGGCCAAAACACACAGCATCACAGGAGAACTGGGGATCACAGATGGTACGTTTTGATCTGAGACTTTGAGACTTTATTACACTTTGCTGTAGGTGCTTGTGTGTTAAAATCCTTCAGATTCTTGAACCTGGTGCCGAGAGGCTGCATACAGTATGTTAATAATGATAATATATTACACTGCAAAATCATTCACTCCTACTTCAGTGTACGAGCAACATGATGCTGCTGAGTATTTTGAGAAGATCCTACGCCGGACCAGTCTAAAGGCGTCCAAGGTGGGGACACATTCATGGATTTATTTTTAGGAGATGGCGTACTTTGTTATAAAACTCCAGGATACAGAGGTAAGCGAACCTCTGCCGCATCTTTGTGTCTAGATATTCAAGGGCGAGCTGAATCATAAGACCACATGTCTCCAGTGTAAGCAGAGCAATGACTCCAGGAGCTGTTTCTGGATTCTGCCACTTATGGTCAAAGATTCCCATCATCTGGTCTACAGCGTGGTATTATGCTTTCTTTTAACAAGAATACGTATTGTTCATAAAAGAACATACAGGATAAATGAATATAAAATATTTACAGGAGAAAGGGTTGAGTGCTTTCTTCAAGGGAGAAATGATCTGCGGGGACAACAAGATGTACTGCAGCCAGTGCAATGGAAAACAAGATGTAGAAATAGTAAGTGATAAATGTAAAGTCCTTGTTGGAATAGGTAACTGTCCCGTGTTCAGGCAGCTGTTTTCATCATATGGTCTAGGGCTGC